ACTTTGATTTTATATCGCTCAGTATAGAGAGGTGAACCGCCAGCTTGCGCACCCTCTGAGCAGGCCTGGAAAGGCTCAGGTTTGCGCTGGTGGGTGCAGAGCAGCTCCAAACAAGAGTCTCAACTGGGTTGCACCAGCGTTGTGCTTTTGACTTCACTGGAACAATGCCGCTTAGCTTCAGCTGAGGAATTAAACCAAGATATTTATCCAACTACCCCGTACCTTTCTTGGAGCTAGAAAACAGGGCTGGGAATTTCGAAGGAACAGGGTTCCTGCTCTGTGTGTGGCCAGATGGACAACAAAGAAGGCTCTGTCTCAAACATTTTGACCTGTGCACTCTCCTGGGTGAACCCCAACAAGCTCAGGAGCTTGAAAGGAGTGCAGAAGAACAGAGGGAAAGGTTATATTCTGTAGAAACTAAGGAATGTTTGTGGCAGTTTTTTCTGTTTACATAAAAAAGTTTTTCTATAAACTGGCTAACCAGTTTTGGGTTGGGCAGTTCTATCCAGCCTATCTGGCTTTTGTACCTTACCCCCTTGCCTTGGTATCCAAAACGCTGTGTTTTGTTCAGGAATGATGGGTGAGCACATTCAAACCTGTCTGGTTTTTTAATCGTCCACTTATTAATGTCTATAGCCAAATCTTAAAGCAAGTGAGACCATAATAAGCGTAGAGGGAAACCGTGTGTTCAGAACGGCTTATTTAACTAAATATTAAAAAGACAAAACAACAACCCAATCTGAGCCCAGACCTCCTGGCTCTTAACAAATCACTCTCTCCAGCTGCTCTAAGTAGCTTTGCAAAACATTTTGAATAAAAGTGAGAGGAGAAAAATGCCACAGAATAGCTAGAACCTCTCTCCTACTTCTCATCTTGAACCGTTTTGTAATGATTGGGGGATTAATGTCCACTGAATCCTTCAAGTCTTTGTTTTCTTTCACTATAAATAGTGTCTTTAGGGAAACTGTGTTTGACCTTGCCTATCCATCCTGCAAATTTAAGTGTAGAGCAGGCAAAATGCCGTATGAGACAGGTTGGCTGGCAAGGAGGGGGAGCACTGTGTTCTCTCCTCCCCAAACGACGTCTCCGCCGCAAGCTGCAGTTTTAGCTTCTGTGCCTGTCCGCCAGCTGCCGTTAGAGAATGCTGAGTTTCTCTTTCAGTATCTTGAAGACATTGAGGCGACACTCCTTTTTTATTTGCTCCTGCTTCTCAGCCAAGGAAGGAATACAGAGTTTGAGGGATCTGTCTGTTAACAGTGACTGAGAGAAGTAAACGTTGTAAGGAGAGGATCTTTACAAGTGCAGGGTGTTGGTTTGGGCCTCTTAGACGTGGATAATGATTCATAGCCCATCTATCCGGCCACTGGAAAAAATAACAATAATTCCCAGCATCCCATATAGATCCAGGGAAATAAAGGCTGCAGACCTGTTGTGACATAGCTCATCGATTCATAGGAAAACTTGAAGTGTGGAGATGAAAACCTGTTACTTCCATTTCGTGCGTGATTTTGGATTAGTCGGTCAGCCACGGAGGGTAGTTGCTGGATCACTATGTTTCGGCATAAAAAACCCAACAAAACATTACTTAAGATAGAGACGTTTACTCGTAGCAGTCCTGATGAGGAAATGAAACAGAAATTCTGAGGTCAAGAGTGTCAGGGTAGAGTTCAGAGAAGCATCTGGACACCTGAAGTATATCTAAGCTTCTCTGATTTAAACTCTTAGAAGATTTTCAGCAGCACTTTTCTTTGGCCAGACTAGGGCTATTTTGCAGAAAAATTCCCTTATGATCATCTTGCGGGATTTTGTCCAAAGTTCCCAATCAGTGTATGAGTCACGGAAAATTAGCACATGTACATACACATGTATGTACCTGCACAGCAAATATTTTTGCTGGCCTAGCTTGCCTGCTTAAATGTATTTGCAGTTATTTTACACACACGTAGTTGCCAGCTTACCACTTGGCTCCTCCATTAATTGCCTTTTAATTCCCTTACAGGAAGGAACATCCAAATTTGCGAACCTGGACAGCAGCGTGAAAGAAAATCAGAAAAGGACACAGAGGCGACTGCAACTTCAAAAAGATACGGTGCGTCTGGGGTCCTTTTCCTATGCTTTTTGAACTGGTAACATGATTAACGCAAACTGGTGAATTATGTAAGAAGCAAAATGTAGAAGGGTGTTTCACAAAGTGAGCGTGTGGTAGGTAATGCTCTTGAATGTGCCCTCTGTCAAGCAAAACAGTCACATCAATGCTATTGATTGGCTGATACAGAGCAAGTGAACCGGAAGATTTAGACTGAACATGCAGTCAGAATGTTTGTCCCTGTAAATACATGCCCAAAGCTGTAATTCCCTTATGCTGTGGATCACAGTAAGCAGGTAATAATACTGTGTGTGTGTATATATAGTGTGCATATAGAGAGAGTCCCACACGGGCATACATCTGTATCCATAAACAGTTACCAAGTGGGATTGGTGCTGCACCCAGCTCGAGCTGTATGGCCTACGCTGAGCTGCCAAGCTGTAAGAGCTGTTGGTTTTGGTGCAACCCAGCCGTCCTTTTGCTCCAGTAACACCCGTCTCTGCACTGAAATGCTGGAGGAAATGGACATGCAAAGCGTCAGTATAGCCAGTGTGTCCAGTGATCTGATGCCGAGAACACTCAAAGATTTCAGGATTCAGTGGACATACACAGAGGCCACGTTATGTTCCCTGGCACCAATCTTCCCCTGTCCCCCGCAAGGGGATGACTGGGTTTGTAAGCTTGCTGCTCCCATCCCCACTTGCATTTGCTTCACATCCCAACCAGCTGTTCGGGATGAAGGCCGAGCCAAGGGTTTGACCTTAGTTTCAAGTCCTCCAGAAATTTACTAAAACTGTCCTAGAAAAGGGTAATAAATGATTGATGAAAATAAACATGTGTTCATCATTTCCAACTGTCTTGTTTCTGTCTGACATGAAAGAATTCCATTAACTATTCTTGTTACCCTTTAGAGAGGAATGTGGGGAAAGCCACACAATTTTCATGTAGTAAAATACGTGAAGTAAATCCTGGAATTCTTGTGATAAAAGAAAATTATCTCTGGCCAGAGCAGAAATCCCATTTACTTTTAACTTTCAACGCATGTACTTTGAACAAGCTATGAAGCTTCTGACATAGACCAGCTTCAAAATTGCACAGACGTCTACAGAGGTTGCTTTGTAAAATGTGTCCGGTTTCCAGTCTGCTGGTGCAAATGGCTTTTGTCTCCAAGTTGGCAAAGATTGAAAAGGACAGGGGGAGAGAAATCTGGGATAGGGAGGCAAAAGTGCTGAGTATGACTTTTTTTTTTTTTTTTTTT